AGCTCTCCAAGTTGGTACTGCTGTGAGATTTCCGCTTGCTTCAGAGGGTGGCCAGCGCTTTGTTTATTCTGTGAGAATTTGATGGCAGTGCTCCTTTCTCCTTGGGCAGGGTGTGATGCTGGTGCCAGCGCTCGTGCCCACCTCCAGCGCAAGCAGGCTGACGCGCGTGTGTTCTGCCCGGAGCTGGCAGCAGGTTGCCGGTGCGCTCGGGAGGGTGTTGCTGTGTCTTCAGCCCCTTCCGACGCAACCCAAGTGGAATCTTGTGGAATTGCTGTGGATTTTATGCATCCTCTTCTCACAAAGTTATTTTTGCTGCCTGTGGCTCGCATGCAATGGTTTTGTCTACCAGATTCTGAACGCCTACTTTTGCCTCTTTTGCTGTAGGCGTATGTTCCAGAGTACCTTTTCCTTCGTCTTTCTGAATTTTGGTTGTGTGATTTCAAGGCCTTTGGCAGAAAGCCAGTTCAGAGTTTCTGGGGGAGTTGACCGTAGAAAACTCTACCTTTTGAGAGAGATAAAGTTGTTGAAAAGTGGTTTTCCAGTTGCGTACAGTGTAGTGTGTAGGAGCAGGGCAATCATCACTTGGGTAGTTTACCTTTCGACCCGGTGCCTTCTTTAGAGGGCTCGGAAGGTACACGCCATCTGGTTTATCAACGAAACTGATAAACCCAGAGAGCATGTTAAGTTTGAGCAAGGTTAAAGATGGTCTTCTAGTCTTAATGGTATAAACGGTGCGAGCCCTCTGTCATCAGTTCTGCCGTGTTTTTACTGTTCACATCCGGATTGATAACGGAGGGTGTATAGCAAACCGGCAGGACTGGTCTGCTTGTTCTCAGGTGTGTGCCCTGTGTGTAGGTACCGTGTTTAACTCCAGCGCTGGTGCCTAAAGGCGTGTTATTAACACTAACAGTCACTGCCTTCCGTCAAAGCCAGCCCCTGACGCAAAAGCAGAGGAGAATGAGTTGGCATTATTCACTCCTCCGAGATCAGTAGCGGGAGAGCAGCGGGGAACTACTTGGAAGTCCCAAGCCTTTCCCTGGAGGAAGGATTCCCCATCCTGGAAGTCCTTTAGCAAGGACAAGTTCTTGATCTCAGCTGGGTTTCTTGGGCTTTTTCTGTGCCTTACAAAGGTTTCAGTCAACAGGTGTAGGATTTCAGTCGCAACAGTGTCTTGGTTCACCTCAGTTTGAGTCTCATGTAAAAGTCACTGAAATGAAAAACTGCTCTTTTGTGTCCTCATCACTCTGGAGACAGGTTTTAGTGTTCCCTTACCGAGGTTGCAAATTAAAAGGTTTTCATAATATTTCAGGTTGTTACCCTCTCTCAGGAACAGAATGCACCCAGCTGAGAAAAATACCTTAATGCTGCTTTTCAGGAGTTAATAGGGGCTTAGAGTCTCTGCAAAATCACCCTTTTCACTATTAGTAGTGAAGAGAGAAGAGTTTGTTGACATTGTCACCATCCACCCCGCTGCACGGCAGTCGTGAATGAAAAAACGCTTTCGGTGTTCTCAGAATAGTCGGATTTCGCTGTGAAATCTTCCTCGGTGATGTTGGCAGGCTTATTGCAGCACTGTGTTACTGAGGCTGTCTCCCAAAAATCCCACAAGGATGCTGCAGCGTCCAAAGTTCCTGTTGCAGCCCTGGGCTTGTCCTGCTGCCTTGGCCTCTTGTCCTCTGTGAGTCCAGGAGCTGGGGAGGAGGAACATAAATACTGCCACTAGTTACCCCAAATACGTTGGTGCTGCTGTGTGCAAAGGAGTTAAGAAAGAGCCGCTTTCTCCCAAAGCGCTCTCTGTGGCTTGGGCATCTCGAGCTCCTTGGGGCTGGTGGGGGGAAGCACGTGCACGCAGGGGCTTTGGACGCTTCTCCAGTTGAAGTAGTTGAACTGATTCTCCCTTCCCGTGAGCTCACGGGCTATTTTATTTGTAACAGCTTAATTAGTTTAGTTAGGTGAACATATAGTGCAGCAAACGTTATCTTGGGTAGGTGTTTAGATGTTCCTTAGAATGAAGAGATGGGATTAAACATGGAAAAATCTGTTGTGCTTTGCACTCCCAAGTCCCAGAGTGCCGAGCGACGTTGCTGTAGTGAGGCAGTCGGACCCTTAATTAATCGATTAAGCTTTGCATTAAGTAGTTTCTGATCGTCCCCTTCCCCCTCCCCTTGTTGGAGCATGTATTTTGACTATTTGCTCCCAGTTCATCAAATACAAATTGGAATTGCTGGAGGTGATCTTGAGGAAAAGACGGGCTAAAACCTGGCTTTGAGTAGTTTTTTTTCCCCTGGTTGTGGGTAAAGCTGGGAAGGCATCCCTGGAGCAGATGGTGCTGGCAGGGATCCTCCTCAGGGCAGAATTCAAGTTCCTTTCCCTGAGCCAGATACTCCCGATGAGCCGGTGCGCAGGGCTGCGGCAGAGCGTGACTCGGTGCCTCCCACTCGGCTGAACTTCCGTGGCATTTCTAGACCCGGTTTAAAAATAGCAGGAGTATTCTCAGTGAGATTGCGTCGGAATACAAGTTTAGGGACGGTTTCTGTGTCCCACTTCTCCAGCAGCTGCTTTTCTTTTTCTTCAGGCTCTTCACCGGGATCAGCCGTATTTGCCCGGTGAACAATGTGTTTATTCAGTAGTTTGGAGGAAAACTCCGGCCGATGGATGCCTGGAGCTGATCAGCTGCCCTGGCTCATCTCGGGGAGATGCTGTTTCCTCTTCCTGTGTTTCTGTGTAACATTTGTGTAGTAATTTGTTCCTGGGGGTATGGATCAAGTATGCTTCTTATCTTAAAATGCTGACCCTGAAGCATGGCGGGTTTTTGTCTCTATGGCAAGGCTGGAAATCTCTCGGGGCAGGGCCACCCTGAAGATGGGAGGGGTTGGCTAAAAGGCCGCCTTGTTTTGAGACTGCCAACAATTTCTGTCGGAAATGCAGCTGTTGGAAGTATCTGTCGGGGTGAAGGGAGTGAAAGGGTGTCTTTTTCCTGTTGGTTTGGCTGGGGGATGTTGTGCGGTGTTGGGGTTCACAGTTGGATTGTCTTAGGGACTGTGCCTTGCGCCTCTGGCTCCTGGGGTGGGAAGGGCAGTTCTGACGTCCCCTTCACTTTAGGGGTGCAGCGATGCTGCGGTGGAGGAGGCTCCAGGCAGGTGCTGGACTGGGCTTTTACACGTGAAACTCCTTGGAAGGCTCTGCTGGGGAAGGGCTTAGACTCGCAGATCGCTGTGAACCAGATTTACGCAGCGCGTTTCTCTGAAAGATTCTAAAATTTTCCATTCTCTAAAATTTCAGGTCAAAGCTGTTCTTTTGCATTTGCAATGGGAAAAATGTTTTACCCGGTGAGATTGTCACGGGGTCCTTGGTGCCCTGGGTATGGGGTCTGCCCAAGTCCGTCGGTGACGGTGTGATCGTGGGCGGCAGGAGAAGTGTCGCGGCCTCTGGAGAGGCGCGAGCTTTGTGCCGCACTCCCTGAAAACACTGACACAGAGCATTTCTCAGTTGTCGTTTTGTTTTTCCCTAACGCCGAGTACTTCTGGTGGCATCCGGAATAGTTCTTGGCTAGTCTGAAATGGGTGCAAACCCAACCGTGCGCTGCCTGCAGCCGCGTTTGTCGGTGTCGCTGCGCCGCTTCTTCCTTGGCGGCCCCGCGCTGCCCTCTCGTGACAGCTTCGGCTTATTGCGTCTGCTCCGGCTGCTCGCCGGCGTGGAGACTCGTCCACAGCCCTCTTCCCAGCTGAAATGCCCGTAAAACATTTGGCTTGTCTTCTAAGTTTCCGGCATGACGTTACGAAGGTCCGTTTTGAAAATCGTGATTGCATGCTGCGTTGTTTTGGATTTTTCTTCTCCCCGCCCCACCACCTCTCCCCCAAATTTTGCAGCAGGTTGAGCAATGTTGTTGTTCACGTGTAAAGATGTTTTGAAACTGGGCATCTGCCTTTCTTTTAAGAATTGTCTGACACTTTGCTTTTTCTACATACATTGCAAATACAAAATGTAATGAAATTACATGTAAAACACCCGTATTTTGTAATCTTTAATGCAGCCTAGGACATAAAAAGAACAACATTGGCCAACGCTGCTGTTTTGGAATGAAATACAGCTACAGAAAAGGGTGAAGCATTCGGGTGGATAAGTGCGGGGCGCTAGTTCCGCACGCAGGGAGTAGGTGCTGGGGGTTGTGGGAAGGTTGTTGCTCGTGACCGCCGTTCTGATGAGGCACAGCTTCGTGTGATGAATGGAGGGAGCAAAGTTGAGTCTGATCTGTATTTAGGCCCTGGCCAAGCTCTCAGATGGTACTGCTTTCAGGAGTTCCCTGATACCTGACCCTTCTTCCCTGCTAACAGATAGACGAGGATTTTTGGTCAGAAGCGCTTCATATCCACATTAGAGGATAGTGCTTACAAATAATTTCATGGGGGAGAGAAATGAAAAATATAGAATCATGGAAGGTTTGGGTTGAAGGGACCTTAAAGACCACCCAGCCCCACCCCCTGCCATGGGCAGGGACACCTTCCACTAGACCAGGTTGCTCCAAGCCTCATCCAGCCTGGCCTTGGACAACTCCAGGGATGGGGCATCCACAGCTTCTCTGGGCAACCTGTCCTAGTGCTCCCCACCCTCTGCAGGAAGCATTCCTTCCTGATACCTAATCTAAACCTCCCCACTTTCAATTTAAACCCGTCACCCCTTGTCCTGTCACTACAGGCCCT